GGTCTTTGCCTTTCTCCTAGGGTTGAATCCTTCATATGAGTCCATTAGGGTGCAGATCTTGGGTAGTAAAGACTTGCCATCAGTTTAGGAGGTGTATGCCTTAGTGCAGTCAGAAGAGAGTAGAAGAAGTGTGATGAATTGTGTAGAGGGGGAGTCARTTGCCCTAGYTATCCRGGGAAATTCAGATACAAATGTCAGAGGTGCTTCTAAGAAAGGTGATTCTCAGAAAAGAACAGATGATAAGAGTAAACTTTGGTGCACTCACTGCCAGAAGACGAGAGATACATGTTGGGATCTCCATGGAAAACCTAAATGGGCACAGGATTTGGGTAAGAAGTCAACACCTGATCAGGGCAAGAAACCAAGCCAGCAGAATCAAAAAAAGTAAAACTCAGCTAATATGGCGTCAACAGAGACTAGTCCATTGGTAACTCAGGAGAGGCATCCCAGTTTTGACCCTAAAGAAGAAATTATCAACTCCTTTCGTGACCATTTGGAATTGTATGGTAGGACTCTCCGCCAGATGGATTCTGGTCCTACTCCCTCTACCTCTTTCGCGTCTACATCAGGTAACGCTGCCACCGCCTTCCATGTGTCATCTCATACCACTGATTTTCCTTGGGTTATTGACTCCGGAGCCTTAAACCACATGACCGGTAAGTCAAATTTATTTCAGACATATAACCTTCTTCTCTCTGGGAGAGATAAGGTGAGACTAGCTGATGGTTCTTTCTCTACCATAGCTGGCCAAGGTACCATACCTCTCCCACTCGGCCTTACCCTTTCTAATGTACTGCATGTTCCGAAATGACCTATTAATTTGCTGTCCATTAGTAGCATAACTCACTCCTTGAACTGTTCAGTCACTTTTTTTCCGTCTTCATGTGTTTCAGGATTTGGCATCGGGGAAGACGATTGGTAGAGGAAGCATGGTGGATGGTCTCTACGTATTGGAGAATAAAGCTGGTCTTGTGGCTACAGAGTCCATGAGTTTCTCAAGTGAGAGTCAAGCCTATTTATGGCATAGTCGTCTAGGTCATCTTTCTTTTGAGTCATTAAAAGTTATGTTCCCAAAGTTGTTTGAGTCCTTGTTAGTGAGTCAATTACAGTGTCAGACATGTCAATTGA